CAGCCCGTTCCTCACCTGTCTCAGAAACTTGGATCCACATTCGCCACCCCTGGCTTTGGCAAATGGACGGGGGTCATGACATGTCGTTGGCACAGGTTTGCGGTGGCTTCACCAATGGGCTCAGGCACAGGAACAATTGTTGAGGATGGCGAAGTGCTGGGCAGTTTCCTTGTTTTGTGTAAGGTCGCTGTGGGTCAGAGGGGACCTAAGGGCTCCTCCAAAGACCCCACCTAAGTTTCCGACTGGTCAGTGTTCATAGTCCCCACCCATCCAAGCCCTTGATCGGACAGTGCCCAGGCCACCCCCAATGGTCTGCTAGGTGATAGAAACATGTAGCCAAGTAGGTGGGCCTTGCTCTTGGCCCCACCTCCAGGAACTCTACATTTTATGTTTCCCTTGAAAATTCACACAGGATACCCATTTTTGGTGCAGGTGACTTTGAAGCTTGTCCAACCCTTGATCCTTAGGTAAGCAGGCCTGCTTTCCCTACCTGACCTAGGTACCCCTTCATTCTCTTGAGTGAGGAATTGGCAGGCTAGACACTAAGTCTGCAGAGGTGTGGGAAGAGGCAGGTGTCTGCCACGTATCTGAGCAAGCATTCCAATCTAGTATAATTGCCAATCTAGTAGGAAGCCGGTTTAGCTTCCACATAAATTGAGCATAATCCCAAATCTTATCACAATGAGAGACCAAAGTCATTTCATGGTATGTGGATTGTGTGACCTTTATGGTGTGGCTCCTGGATTTCTTTGAGGTGTGTTGATGTCAGCACTACTTAAAAGTCCTACTACTAAGAAGAATAAGAGTCATTATAAGTGATGGTAGTTATAAAAATGAAAGACCAAAAACACAGCAGAAAGAGTATTTGTATGTATTTGGTGCTATTATTTTAGAATATATAAAGAAAAATAGGTACATTGTATGGATGAATTAAAAATAATCAGAAATGGATATTTAACATCTCATATCAGCCGGGGAAACAATTAAGGAAGCATAAGATATTTATATGAACACAACACATAAAACCTCTGGATGAGTTTTTAAAGAAACATACAGAACTCTGACAAAGACGCTAATTATTTTGAATCCCTTGAAAATGAAAACACTAATAATCATTTAAAAGTTAATTAAATACATTGGGTTTAATTACTTAAAGGGAGCAGTTCACTTACTTAATTCAGACAATCTGTTTCGTATATTCCAAGTCTGTATTTCAATAATGGAAAAGTTAGAAAAAAATAACTTCATGGTCAATGCAGCCTCGTAGTAAACCCACCAGGGAACTAAGTTTCCTGTCTTTTTGGTTGCAGCATTAAATCTGTTAGGATAGACTCAAGAAACCAACTATTTTAAGAACAATATGCATATAACAGAAATCAGGTTAAGATGAGTTAGAGGGTCAAAGGATGAAGTGTCGTATGCCTGAGCACAAAGGAAGGTCCCTGACACATAGCTTCTGGAAAAGCCCTTGGAAGCTGCTGATTAGGAAGGAATGAAAGTCAAAACCCACAGCAGAAACGCAGGTGAAGGGCGACAGTGAACGGTGTAGGATGTGACAAAATAATCATAATTTATCATTTATCAGGGGTTCACGAGGGAGGGAGGGTGGGGAAGAGAAGGCAAAAAGAGCAGCTGATACCAAGGGCTCAACTAGAAAGAAAATGTTTTGAAAAGGATGATGGCAACATATGTACAAATGAGCTTGATACAATGGATGTATGGATTGTTATAAGAGCGGTGAGAGCCCCCAATAAATTTATTTATTTAAAAAAAATCAAAACACATGGTGTTTGGTTTGAAGCTGTTTTAGTGTGTACTTGTAGAGAAAATATATTTATCGAAACATAATACCAATTCAAAAACTTCTTACATAATTCAATGTTATGTTCTTCAAGTTGTACAACCAGTCTTCCTACCCATTTCCTGATGATCCTACCCAAACTGAGACTGTTCCTGAGAGCTGTATGTCAATGTGCGGTAACCTAGGTTACTAGGTTACTCTGTATCTGTCCTGATAGCCCAGTAGAATGAAGAGGAATGGCTTCTTTACTTCTGCCTTCCAACACCCACTCATAGATCTTCCTCTTCTTCTCAACTTTAACCTGG